AACAAAAGTCCACAGTGTTAGAGGTAGAATATTGGCATGGATAGAGAATTGCTTAATGGGAAGGAAACAGCAAGTGGGGTTAAGGGAGCCTCTTCCAGGTTGGTAAGCAGTGACGAATAGGGTTCCACTGCGATCAGAGCTAGGATTGCAACTGTTTACAATATATAATGACTTGGAGGAAGGAAGCAAATGTACAGCAGCAAAACTTGCAGATGACCCAAAAAGTAGGTGGAAAAGCAAGCGGTTTACAGAAAAATTATTGGTAAGTAATTGGGCAAGAAGTTGGCAAGTGGAGTATAATGTAGGAAAATGAAGTTGCTCATTTTGAAAGGGAGAACAAAAGAAAAATATTATTTAAATGGAGAAAAACTGCAGGAAGTTGCAACACACAGTCTTGGGGTACTTGTACAAAAAACACAAAGCTAGCACACAGGTGCAGCAGGTAATTGGGAAGTCTAATGGAATGTTGGCCCTTATTTCAAGGAGGTTAGAGTATAAAGAGTAGGGAAATTTTACTGCAGCTGTACAAGATGCTGATAAGACCACATCTGGAATACTGAGAGCAGTTTTTGTCTTCTTACTTAGGAAAAAAAATGTTATTTCATTGGAGGCAGTTCAGAGAAATTTCTCTAGGATGATCCCTGGTATCGGGGGAATAGGCTTGTGAGTGAAGGTTAAATGGGTTGTGGCTCTACTCATATATTGGAAGAATGAGGATGATCGCATTGCAACAAAATTATTCTTTAGGGGCTTGACAGGGTAAATGCTGAGAGTATGTCTTCCCCCACCCCCCACTGGAAAATCCTTCCCGATTGCTCGTGACATAATGATGCTGAGTCTGTTTGCAGTCTAAATGATGATGTTCTTAATACTGTCACATTGAGAATGTAAGAACTTTCCCTTATTGAAGGCATAGCAAAATATTTTCCAGGTCAGGATTGAGCATTCAAGGGGAGTGCAATGAATGTTCAAAACTTTGCAGGAATCATAAATGTAAATAACTTATTTCCCCTGAGCAGTGGTTGAGTTATGATAATACACAAATTTAGAATTAATATAAGTACTTAAAAATAAAGTTAATCATACAAAAGATTATTGAATAAGGAAAGGACACGACCAGTTTTTACAGAAGCTAAGAGGGAATGAGATAAGCATTTGAAACATTTTGAAAAGGCTTTGAGGAAGTGTAAGGAAATATAAATCACTGGCTAGGCCTAAGCTGGAGTATTATTTTCAATTCTTGGCACCATGTCAAAGCCACGGAGACAGTGCAGAGATTTAATGGAATGATACCAATTTTTCTTTTGTAGATATTAGAACATCTGGAATTGTTCTATGTTGACCAGAGAAAGTTACGGGGTGATTTAATGGAAATGCTCAAAATTGAGGGATTTTGATCATTTGGGTTTTTTATTTGGTTGGCAAAAGGATCAGAAATTTGAGGACTTGGTCAAAGGACCAGGGCAAAGATAAGTGTTTTGTTTTGTTTTTCACAGTGTAATGTAATCTGGAATGCATTGCCTGCAAGTGTTGGAAGCAAGTCCAATAACAACTCCCAAAGAAAATTGGATAAATATTTGAGTCGGATAAAATGTAAGCTGTGTGAAGAGTGCAAGACTTCAGTATATTGGAGCTTTTCTTATTTGTTCAAGGAATGTGTGTCGCTGGTTAGGCCAGCATTTATTGCCTATCCCTAATTGCCCTGGAGAAGGTGGCGGTGAGCTGCTTTCTTGAACTCTGAGGCCCTTGAATGTGGGTACACCCACATTGCTGTTACGGAGAGAGATCCAGGAATTTAGTGATAGTGAAGGAACATGGTATAGTTGCAAGTTGGGTTGATGTGTGGCTTGGTGGAGAACTTGCAAATGGTTGTGTTCCCAAATATCTGCCCTTCTGGTGTTAGAGATCGTGGGTTTCAAAGATGCTGGCGGAGGGGAGGATCCTTGGTGACTTACTGCTTTACATCTTATAGGAGGTTCACATGACTGACACTCTGCATTGGTGAAAAGAGTGAAGGTGATTTGGATGTCAATCAAGTGGGCAGCTTTGTCTTGGGGGATGGTATCAAGCTGCTTCAGTGTTGTTTATGCTACCGTCATCCAGGCAAGTGCTTCATTGCACTGTTTCCCTTTGTAGATGGTGGCTGGACATTGTGGTGACAGGAGATGAGTTACTTGCCTCAAAATTCCTAAACTTTGACCTGTTTCGGAAAACTGGCACAGGCATAATGGCGGCCTTTTATAATCTTTTGAATTTTAATCACATTTTTGATCTTGTGAATTTTAATCCATGAATGGAGTTAATGTTAGCTCTGCCACAGAGACCAGCATTAGTGCTAAAATTGGTGTGATTACAAAAGCAACTTGTATTTATGATGCACCTTTATCATAGTGCATCCCCAGATGATTTGCAAAAGCGTTATCAAACAAAATTTTAGAGTGAGCCAAATAGAACAGTTAAATGACTTAGAACTTGGTTTTAAAGAACTTTTAAAAGAGGAAGAGCAGCAAATAAATTTAAGAAGGAAATTCCAGGGCTTAAATCTTTGCAACTGAAGACCTAACAATACAGCCATTAAAATTGAACGTTGTGTATCATGCAAAATATCAGAAGTTTGCTTTTAGATTTTTTGTGGTTGGACCAGAGGAAAGGTTTTGCATGCCATGAGGTAACTTCACCACTCAACCATTCTTCATTATAAATCCACTTGAACCATTGACGCTGTAAAAATAATTGTTGAAGATTTGGTGTTTTTGTTTAAATCTGAATAAATTTATTCATCATAATTTAAAAGACTAATGGCCATGCTGTAAGTTTATGCTTCCTGATTACTGATTGCTGCTGGCTATTGGGAGAGCTACATTGTCGCACCTCTACCAGTTCAAATTATTTGTCAGACACAAAATTGAGACAAGTAGAGATGTGTTTTGTATACCAATAAAAGCTGCATTGAACTCAATGAAGAGCTTTTTAAAAAAAAAAAAAATAAAAATTACCAATTTATCAGTGGAAAAGCACTGCAGCCTGACATTGAAGCGGCATTGAAGCCAGGGTATTCAATCACTGAGATGGTTCTCTCAGTACAGTTAACTGGTCACGGCTGAATGATGCCCAAACAATTCTTAAGCTTATTTTAGTTTGGTAATCGTTGTAAAGGAGTTGTTTTTTTTGATCATTTTTAAAAAATGTATACTGTCACATTGTTTAGACTCTTCTTGATTCTGCTACTCTTAGTACATAGAAGACTCTGTGTAAGTAGGATGTCCTAATCTAGCCCATTTGGCTAATAGAATCATATTCATTATACTATAGTAATTGATAGTAATCCCATTAGCTGCTTTTTATTATTTTCTGAAAAAACATGGTTATCACAGGAAAGGCTTATAATTACTGCCCACCCTGATTATTCTCAAGGTGGTGAAGTTACAATCCACATGGCCAACATACTTCCACAAGTAGGGAATCCCAGGATTATGGCATTGTGATGATGAGGAATGGTAATACATTTCCAAGTGTTTGACTTGCTACAGATTTAGGAGGTAGCTTTTTTTCCCTGTCTTTACCTTCCTTATCCTTCTAGGCGACAGAGGACAAGTTTGGGATTTGTTGCTAAAATGTTTTGGTGAGCTACTGTAATGTATCTTATACCTAGTACACATTGCAGCCCTGGTGTGGGGAAATGAATCTTGTGAATGGGATGCCAGTCACACAGGCTGTTTGTCTCGGATGATGTCTCTCAACTGTTATTGGAGCTGCACATATCTATTACAGCCCTGACTTGTGTTTTGTAAATGTTGGAAAGACTTTATAGAATCACAGAACAAGTCACTTGTTGCAGAATATCCAGCCTCTGACCTGCCCTTGTAGGTAGTATGTAGTCGAACCAATTGGTTTTCTGGTCAACTATAAAGACAGCTACCGGTAAAGGTCGAATGCCTTGTGCTCGATGAAGTATCTTGATGTCATATGTGTAAAATAGCAGTGAAGTTGTTTTGTACAGAAGCATTACGCCAATCTACGAACTTCATACAAGCTTCATTTGTACACTAAATATTGAGTTATGGTCTTGTGTAACTTATTGTGTGACAAATTTTGATTGGTACTGAGATCAAATGAATGTAAACATTCAAATTATTGATCACATTCCAATGCATTGATGAATTTTTAATTTTTTTACTTGTTTATGCATGAGTATTTTGCTAACTAAGCAAGTGTGTATGTACATCTAAGTATAAATTCTGTAGTATTCCATACTTTATTATGTACTTAGTTAAACAATTTTGTGTTTTTTTTCTGTAGGCTATGGTTGGAGATGAGTGTGTGGGTGCCATTGTCTGCAAATTGGACATGCACAAGAAGATGTTCAGGAGAGGATATATAGCGATGTTAGCAGTGGATTCCAAGTACAGAAGAAAATCCATTGGTGAGATTTATATTTTCAAATTAGCAATGCAAATTTATTAAAAATTGCCATGCAACATTCTTTTCGTAAAGACTAACATGGCAGTCTTTGATATAACTTGAATGTAGCTAAGGGAGTTTGATTCATGATTGAAGTGGGTTGTTCTTCACTCAACTCCACTTGTGGCTTCTTTTCTGTCATGCATTTAGTCTCCCTCATCTGTAGCTTATTCTGGCTACCTGTAATTTATCTCATTAGCTTTGTTCTTACTGATGCACTTTGGCTCCTAATCCCCTGATGCTTGATTTTTTTAAAATCTTTGTCAAAATCTCCCTAAGGCTTTGTGCCTGTCTCTTTTCTCACTTCCAGTCTAAGAAACCTTCTCTGCAAGAATGCTGTTTCTTGAAATGCAGCCTTCTTTGCACTCACTATCCCCAAGTTTCGCAGGTAACATTTAGATTTGCAACTGCATAGGTTCCCTGCTCTCTTTCCAATCTTGACATAATTTGCCTGACTGTTCCTACCTACCCTCCTTTGCTTGCCTTTTTTTTTCTTGCATTTCTGTGAAGTTGCTTGGGATGTTTTTCAATGCTAAACATGCCATATTCAAATTTCTGTTTGCGTTTTGCCTCTCCAACTTCAGTTTCTAAAGAGATGCTAAATATCATTATTCTTGAGATGCCTTTTATCTCAGTTTGCTGAAATTCATTATATTGATATGAATAATATAAGCTTAAAAAACATAACTGTGCTTTAATGTAAGTAGCAGCAGGGACTCACATCTATTTTAAATTATTTGAATTATTTTAACCTGTCCCCCAGCTCCTGATTTTGAGTTTTCTAGATCGTGAGTAGGCTCTGTGGAGTCAGATACTGACTGACTTGTTACAGAATTTGTAGCCTCTAACATAGGACTAGACCAGTTTTTGTCAGTGATACCCTCACTCCAATGCCCAGGCTGTTTATTTGTGGGGTTTCAGTGGTGTTAACACCATTCAATGTCAAGGGTAAATCATTAGATTTGTCGTTGTCTAACACACATGTGCAGTGCAGTGTTATTTGCCACTGATCTGCCCAAGCCTGAATGTTGTCCAGATCTTGTTGCATATGGGCACTGATTACTTCAGTACCTGAGGAGTCGCAAATGGTACTGAATACTCTGCAATCATCAGGAAACATGTCCAATTCTGTCCTTGTACTGGAGGGAGGTAATTGATGAAGCAGCTGAAAGTTGTTGGGCCTAGGGCATTCCATTACCATATTTGCCGGCAGGCCTGGGTTCAAGTCCCATTTGCTTCACTATTGCTGGGTCAAAATTCTGCATCACTCTCCCTATCAGCCTTGTAGTTGTAGCTACATCTAATGGACTGCAGCAATTCAAGAAGAAGGCTCATTACCAGTCCCGTAACATCTCTGAACAGGTTAATGGAATGTATCTTCTCTGCTATGTTAGGGCTGTTGTGGCACTATAAGTGTTCCTACCTCTGGGCCAGTGGATGCAGGTTTAATTTTGGATATGAGTTACTTTTCAAGTATACTGTTAAAATGACTATATTCTATTATATTATTTTCCAGGCACAAATCTAGTGAAGAAAGCAATTTATGCCATGGTAGAAGGCGATTGTGACGAGGTACAAAATGCTGCACCTTCCAGATTGCTATATTTGGATTTCTTTGATTCACTTGCGTTAATTTTGATCTTATTAGTTTTGCATTCCCCTTACATTCCTCTCCCCTATGGATATTAATTTCTCCTGAAATTCCTCCTTCACATGACTTTGCTATTGACAATTGACTTCTTCATTGACATTCTATTATCAAATGTAACAATATCTTCTACTGTTTTCTGAAGTCCTTGTTCTAATTAACCAACAGCTAGTAAAGTTTAGTAATTGTACCGAGTCAGATTAAATTACAAATATTTAAATCAAAGTGTGAAATGGAAGGTCATCATCCTACATTGGAGTTAAAAGGCACTGAATGTGTTGTCCAAACATTCTGAAGTGTGTTTTCACTGAGTTAACTAATTATGTTTTTGTGGGTATTATCCTTAAGGGCCTATCAAGTCATATGTTGCTGCTTCCTTATAAGGAGCAGCACCAGCTTATGAAGGGAAGAAGGTGGAAGGATTCACAAAACAGTAAATTCAGAAGTAGTGAGATGAATATCAAGGCTGCGTAATTTGGGTAAAAATAACCAAAGTGGTTCGGAATAGGGGAAAGGTCTTAACAAACATAACAGTGAATTAGTAACTGAAGTGACATCACAGTAAAATTTTTAAACAGTTGACTCCAGTGTAAGTGCAAAGCGTTTGAAATAGAATAGATTAATTATAGCTCAGAGTTTGATCTAACGGCCATTATGGAAAAGTTACAGACTGAGTTGGGTGTTGCGAGTTAAATATTCCAGAATCTTTTACTTTTTAAAAAGCAATAGGCAAAGTGGAAAAGAGATTGGAGTAGGTGGTGGTGATAATCCCTCAAGGATGAGATAAAGACAGTAGTGGAAGTAATTTTTGTGTCAAGATGTAGAATCGTTTTGAGTGGAGCAAAAAAAAAAGCCAGAAGAGACAGATGGGGATTGTTGTCAGAGCCCCATTCGGTTGTTTGATACTACAACATTATAAATCGCAAAGTTAAAAGTTTTTTGTTTTAATCGTTTAGACCAGGCGATACAAATTTTCTGTAATAGTGTTGAGGATGTCTTCATGGAATCCATTCAAAACAATTGGTTCTTTCATATGATGGAGAAAACTGTTGTATGGGCTATTTTAGCTCTAGTGTTGTACAAGACGCAGGGTTAATTTTTAACTTTGTAGTAGAGGAGGGGAAAAATGATTGTAATATGGTAGAATTTATATTCAGCTAGAGTGTGACGGCTTTAAATCTGAACAAAGTAACTCAAGAAGATACAAGGGATTGTTTAGCTATAGAATGTTGGAGAACCATTAAAAGATGGTCGCACATACCAATGATAAACATTAGAAAAATTTACTTCTAATTGGCAACATATATATATTTCCATTGACAAAATAAAAATCCCAAAGAAAGTGACCATCTCTGGCTGGTAAGTAAAGTTGTAGGTAGTATCAGATTAAATAAGGGAATTATAACAAAGAAGAATAAAGTTTTGAGTTTAGAATTCAAAGGATAACCGAGAAATTACAACTTGCATTTGCTATTACAAAGCCAAATGAACCATTTAGGATATTAGAGCAAATGCCAAAAGCTTGGTCAAGGGGTAGATTTTAAGGTGTGTCATAAAGGAAGGATGAGAGAAAGTGAATTGGAGGGAATTCCAGAACTTCAGTCTTGTGCAGCAGAAGGCACTGATAAACAGACAAGCTTTTAAAATTGAGAATTCTGGAGAGGCCAGAATTAGATGAGCTGGTGTCTCAAACATTTACATCTACATCGATGAGACCAAACGGAGGCTCGGATACTGTTTTGTAGAGCATCTGCGCTCTGTACGCGACAAACACGGTCACGAGCCATTTTAACTCCCCCTCCCACTCCTTGGGTGACATGTCCATCCTGGGCCGCCTCCAGTGTCACAATGACACCACCCGGAAACTGGAGGAGCAGCACCTCATATTCTGCCTCGGGAGCCTACAGCCTGATGGCCTAAACGTGGATTTCACTAGTTTTAAAATCGCCCCACCCCTGGCCTCGTCCCATGTCCAACCCTCCCTCTTATCCCCGCCCCCTTCACCTGACACAACCTGCCCATCTTCTCTCATCTCACTGACCAATCCCCACTACTCCGTACCTACACTCAGCTATCACCATCCCACCTACCTTCCCCAGACGCACCCCTCCTCTCTGTATTTATTTCTGAGCTCCCTTCCCCCTCCCCATTTCTGAAGAAGGGTCCCGACCTGAAACATCGGCTTTCGTGCTCCTCTGATGCTGCCTGGCCTGCTGTGTTCCTGCAGCTCCACACTGTGTTATCTCTGACTCTGGCATCTGCAGTTCTTGCTATCTCAGTGCATCTTAATTGTAATGTCTAGGGTTAACAAAGACACATAAGGGTTTCAGCAAATGAAGTGAGGCAGCAGTGAAGTCAGGTGATGTCAGACATGGTCAGAAACTCATTTCAGATTTAAATATGACACTTGTGCTGTAAATGTAAAGGAATGAAATAGAACATGAGAAAAACAGATTGTAAAAGCTTCTTAAAAGTAAGAAAATAGTAAAAATAAATTTAGGTCCTTCAGTTACACCATTTAGAACACTCATGGGCAATTTCAAGAGTGACTTTCCAGAAAAATGAATAGTGGTCTCATGTGAGCTATAAACATTCCATAAGACCCCCAACTCTTCACCTCCTTTGACGGACAGTTGACAAAACTTGCAAATGAGACTTAATGTCAGAAAGTGTGAGGTCTTTCTTCTTCAATTCAAAGAAGAGCGAGATTATTTCCCAAATAGGTAGAAACTAGGAATTAAAGTGCAAATTTAGGTGTCTGTGTACCTAGATTGTTCAAAGCTAGTGGATTGTTTATTTAAAAAAAGCACTCAAATTTGCTAATGGGATTTTGGTTTTTATCATGAAGGAACTAGAATAGTCTTGTTAGATGACAAATTTCACTTCTGACAACTGCATCTTGCAAAAAGAATGAAGAAAAAGAAGAGTAGCATTTCTGTTGTGCTTTTAGTCACCACAGGAAGTCCCAAGTGCTTTACAGCCAATGAGGTAACTAGATACTATTGTAATGTAGGAAACATGGCAGCCATTTTACTAACAGCGAGGTCCAGCATCAATGTGATAGCAGGTAATCTGTGATTTTGATTTGAGCAACAAGACTGACCAGGACACACAGATAACTCCCTACTGGAATGTTCACCAGAAAGAAGTAAAAGCTAAAAAGACTAAATAATGAGGATATGCTACATAAATTTTATTATTAGTCCTTTGAGTATAACAGATTATTGGATGATTTAATCAAAATGATTGAAGTGATAAAACCATGCAACAGGATAGATGAAAAGAAAGTATCTTTTTCTCATAGGGACATAATCCTAAAATTAAAACCAGACCATTCAGAAGTGAAATCAAGAAGCATTTCTTTTTATAAATCTGATACTCTTTCCTTTCTCACTCCTCCCTCCTCAAGAATTTCAGAACTGAAATGAAAAGATTATCTTAAGTACTGGTATGAAAGGATATAAAGTAAATGAGATAAGGTACCATGATCTATTTTAATGATGAAACAGGTTCAAGGGATAAATGGTCAACACTTTGTTTATATGTTCCTTTGGGATTGAATTTTTGATGCAAGAGGTAGTCTGAATAATTGTACAGTGTTTAAACTAATAATTTGTGATTTAATCTGCATCTCTGTAGAATATATCAAGTACGACCTCTAATGCCCAATGAAATGTTCACTTGCAAATTTTTATTCTTTACAATGTTTGTAGAATTAGGAAAATAAGTAGATAAACTAAACATTGGGTATTCTAATAGATTTCTCTTTCTTTTAAAAATGTAGGTTGTCCTGGAAACTGAGATTACAAACAAATCTGCCCTGAAACTCTATGAAAATCTTGGATTTGTGAGAGACAAAAGGCTGTTCAGATATTACTTAAATGGAGTTGATGCACTGCGTCTTAAACTGTGGCTACGTTAGAGAACTATAAAGAACGAGTTCAAAGTGAGTCCTTTTAGCATGCAGTGCAATTTTAAAGAATTGCTTTGCAGCAGGACTCTTGATTTCCATGCAGCTCTTATCTGTCTGTGTCTCATTGAGTGTCACATACATTTGTTGCACTATGGCATGGCGCAGTTGTGCTAATAAAAAAGTGGAATTTTTTTCTTTAAAAATTGTCAAAATATTCATGGATGAATTGTGGTACCAGAAAGAGGAACAGTTGTCCTGAGATGCATCATTTCAGTGAAGTGTGAGGAAAGAAACGAAATTGCATGTCATTTGCAGTAGACAACATCTCAAATGACTTATTGGGGAAAAATGTTTTGTGGCTTCCAGAAAGCTTGTATGTTGAGATTTCTTCATGGACTGCACCAACGTTTCAAACAGAAATTTGCCAGATTAAATACTGAACTCCTCAAAGGGTGTTGATTCTGTTATTCAGAATTTTATTTTTCATATTAAATTTTCCAGTTAATGATTCTTCAGTGACAGAAGAAAGCACATGTTAGAAGTTGTGGGTGTCTGAGCTTGACAACAAAATAACATTGCGCAGCCAGTGCCTGTAGAGATCCGCATATATGTCTCATTCCTAGTTTGACTGCATGCTTTCTTTTCCCAGACAATCTTGGCAACAACGCTTTTACCTTTATTCGAACTATGATTTTGATTGGCAGTGACTCCACTTTTTTGATAAGGATTTTTTTCTCTCTCTCTCAAGCCAAAGCAAAGCTGTTTTTGCTTTGGGAGGTATCTGGCAATTGTTTTAAGAGAAATGGGATTTTTTTGTTTTGGAAATATGTATAGTAGCTGTTGTTCCTAAAATGCTTAGTACACAGCTACGTTTGCTGATTCTATATAATGCACCTTTCTGGTTTAAATTGAGTTTTTTTTAATGTGGCAGATTGAACGTTTATGTATGATTTTAACCAAAAATCTATTTAGATTCTTGGAAGCTGTGAAAGGCTGGATTTTAAAAATGAGTGGGACACATTTTATTGTCCATTTAAGTATGCAAGCAGGTTAGCTGCAGGATCCTGACCCATCTGGTGCAAAAGTTTAGCCATTTCTAAAGCAAATTATAAATTCTAAGTGCATATTGCTTAATTTCAGTTCAATATCTTTATGCTTTCTGCAGCTAAACTCTTTCCTTTGGAGTTGATGAATGCTTTCACCCTCGAATACATGAGTTACTTGGGACTGTACTGCTTCACATGGTTCAAAGTCACTTAATCTGTCTTATTTCTCAAAGGGTAAATGAGCACTGAGCAATGAATTTGATACTTTCATCAGTTTACAAGTACAAAGCATCAGATGGAGATTGGGTACAGAGCTAACTTTATTGAATAAAACCTTGGGTTTAAATAAACCAACTTGATTACTTTGCCATACAGTTTAACTGGAGTTAAGGGTAGTAAATGAGATTGGGCAGCTGTTCAGTATCCGATTCATTTCTATGTTGAATGATTGGGACTTCAATTTAGTCAGTAAATTTTGCTGAATTTCACTGCTGTCCCTCTACTTCTCTCCAAATGAGCAGGACAAAAGCTACAGGAAAGGGTTAAATGGAAATTGCAATGTTTGTAACTTTGTAAGATGCAGTAAAATAAAGTGAAAAGTGGTTTTAAGAGACTGCAATTGTGGTGTAAAAAAAATTATAATATTTTTGATAGAATTCATGCCATATCACATCAACAACCAAGTATTATCCCAATAATTTCCCATGTTAGAATGCAAAATCAAATCTGTTTGATTTCATTAAAATTTTCAAAGGAAAATTTAAAATGACTGCAGAATCTCAGATTGTGAAATGATATGCTAAACAACAATTTCAGGTTTTATTGTACATCTTCTGAGAATGTGACATTTACCAAATGTGCCCATAGAGTAAAGTTCAATGTGAAACTCTATCTGGTAGTTTTTTTTTATGGAGCAGAATTTTGCTTTCGACTAGTGTTCCTTACACAGTTACCTCTCACCACAAAACTGCATGGAACAGCAGTCATTTGTATAACTGGCTACGTTCATTGAAAACCATATGAAATCACTCTTCCACCATAGAACTACTTCATTCAATATTTCTAAATATCCTCAAGTATGACATATTTCATTGCAACTTAAAATTGTAAAGTTGCTAAAGGCAGGAAAGTGGAGGTGAACTGTTTATCAGTGTTTGCCTCTCTATTGTTTAATTGTTGTACTGTGCAGTATGTACATAAGCTATAAAGTACATTTTTAATAGAAAATCTTATGAATTTTTGGCAATAAATAACTCCCATACCTCAATACTATTGGATATTATAATGCTCAACTTTGACATTTCTGCACTGAGAATTTTAGGAAATGGTTTCCATGGGAACATATTCATTTGCATAGACTTTTTAAATTTATGCACACTATTCAGGCACAATCTCTGTAACCTATAACCTTTTGAGATAGTGACACTCTAATCCAAAAAGAAACCACCTATATTTAAATCACTGTAGCCGGCGGCTGAGTTTTGAGCTGTCGAGGCCCCAAGTGCCCTCCACATTTCTGCCTATCTATCTTGTATTTTTCCTTTAAAGATACCTAGTCCTTTGACTCTAATATTGCCTTATCTATCTCAGTGCTATATTTTGTTGTCTAATGGCTCTGTGAAGCACTTTATTACATTCAGGGCACTATATTATAAGTTGCTGAATTAGAATTTTGTAATCATATGACATAGGATGAGGCCATGCCACCCATTTTGACTTTTTTGAAATATAGGATCCATACAGTGTGAAAGCAGGCTCCAAACCAACCCTATGAAGTGTATCCCACCCAGACCAACATCCCTGCCATATCCCTGTAACCCTTTATTTCCCATGGCCACGCCACCTAGCCTGGACACTATGGGCAATTTGGCACAGCCTAACCTGCACAACTTTGAACTGTGGGAGGAAACAGACCACCCAGAGGAACCCCCATGCAGTTACAAGAAGAATGTTTGTGTGGAATTTGCACAGTCACCTGACTGTGGAATCAAACTCTGGTACCTGGTGCTGTGAAACACTGAGCCACCACGTAGAGTCAGCTTGTCCTACACTCTCTTTCCTCCCCTCCTCCTCCTCCCTCCCTTCCCTATATTGCTGGAACTACTTTTTTCCCCCCACATTCTATGTTTCCAATTCCATTTTAGCCCCTGTATCTTCTTGGTGACTCAAAGGGCTTAATATCTGCCTTAAAGTGAGCACAATTGATTTGAGCACAATAGGGACTTAGAATGAGGCTTAAACAGTGAATTATAAATGTTTGGCATAACTTCATTGCCTTTGAGCAATATGTCTCTTTGAAAATTGTACCATCTAATTCATACTATCTGTCCTCATTGTTATTCCTACCAAACATTGCATTAAATTTCATCAATCATGTGGTCTGCCATGGGTATTCTATCCATACCCTTGTGTTATTATCTTCATCACTGCATGCTTACTATATTCCCATGCTTTGTGCAAACTTTGGTTTTGGTACATAAGATTTCAATGTCATTAATTTTAATATTAAACGCAGCAGTGCTCAATACTAACCCCTTGGAAACATGACTGGTGCTTCCTTTCAGTTTAAAAAGAACACTTCACCAGTACTGTCTGCTTTTTTGTTCCTCAATCTTTCATATTCACACAGCTATTGTTCCTTTTAAACTGGAGATGTGTTGATGAAGCATTTGAAAGTTAATAAGGACTCATTGCTTAAGTAACAGAGGAGTTGCCCTTCCTACCAAAAACAGGGCATTTAATTCTGCTGAAGTAAATTATTTCTCAACTTTCAAGTTCCTGAACAATGAGTTATTTCTTCCTACAGTTGGAAATGCATATTTTAGAGAGAAGTGTAAAAAGAGCCTTGTGTATTTGCATTGGTAGAAGCTAATCGTTTGTGCAGATGAGGTTAAGTTTCGGGGACACTTTTAGTGCAAAACAAAATGCAAATTAAATTTCCTATGTTACTGTAGTGACTACACTCAACTCCTTTAGTGCCTGGAGAGAATTTTTTAACAGTGCAGAAATGTTTGAAGACAGGAGAAGCTTATGGAAGAAATCAGTATTATTTCACTTTGGATTGTGTTCTTAATTCATAGGGTGAGGAGCTAGATAGTGATCCAAGAGACTTGTTTAATTCTGCTTCAACAAATGAGAGATGGTGGGAATGTAGGTGATGAATTGTACTTTTTTTTTTAAAAAAAATTGAGATCACAACTGTATTGCAGTGAAATCGGGCTTACGGTTCAGGATCTATAACTAAAGCACTAAAAATCCATACTAATGGGTGAGCCGAGTCATCTCAATGCAAATTAGGAATGTCTAAACGAAAAGACGTTGGTTAATATAGTGTCACTACTTTGTCACTCAACATATTGGGAGTCTACGTGAAGCAGTTCTGTAAGTGACCAAGTTACTGAAGTCTAGGTAACTGAACCTTTGGGTATTATAAGCACTAATGGTATCTGCTATTAAAATTTTTCATCAAGGCAGTCTTTATTTCTGAATATAAAACATTGGGCTAAAATGTAGCCTGGACTGACCACCTGCCCTCTGGTTTCTCACGGGCAAGCTGTGCTCAAATACAGCTCGACAACTAAATTATGAATTTATATTGACACTAATATTGTGGTGTTTTAATTTCACTGCCTCTTGTGTGTTGCACAGCTTATTTCTTTGCAGCTTATATAAATTGCAAATCTGTTGTGCATGTGTTTAAATCATGTTCCAAGGTCATAATTCTTCAACTGATGTAAGGAATTGGATGGACACACTTTACCGGTACTATTCTCCATCGCATTATTTTGCAAAGCCAGCTATCAGACATTAAATCCTTATCTCAATGGTAAAGAAAGTGTATGGAAAAGATTCAATTGTGTTTGTTGTCAAGTTATGTTGTCTGAAGATATGGAAAAGCACTATGTATCTTCTGGATTCTATGCCACAGTGCATATGAGTACTTAAAAATACTAAGATACAATTCTCTATTGTGGATGAACTAATTTGTTGGATTTTTGAAGGGTTGCATTTGAGCATGCTGCACAATGAAATGTCTCATCAACTCACAAGTGGCATCACCTCTGTGTCCTCTCAGATTACAGGCTTTCGTTTTATTTTGCTTTCTTGGTGCAAGGTAAACTGCACCCAATTATTCTAACAATTCCTTATTTTTTGAAGTATCAATTCTTGAAGCTCGTTTTAAGAGAGTTAAGAATTTGATTGGAAAATACCTAGATTATCTGATGAACAAAAGAAATTGCTGATGGCAGCTCAGCATGTATTAAGATTTTCATTTTAAATGTAACTTTATTATTTAAAGTTAGTAGAATAATAAAGTAATAATACTTCAATAAAGTAACCAAGTCACTTGAAACCTTTTAATATTTGTAGTTTGTTTATAGTGCTATATATCAATCTTCTGGGTTTTGTATGAATAATTATCAATCCTTAGTATCATTATGCTTGAGATTTTAGCTGTTCAGTGGAACAGTTGTACTGTGTTTATTTGTGATATGGATTTAAATTTTTCTAATTTTAAACGTCAAAGATAAGGTCACCATTGTCTTAGCAGACCAGAAGGCTGCTCTATTATTAGAGAGAGAGAGAGAGAGAGAGACAACTTAAATCTTAAAAACTGAAAGAACTGCAGATGCTAGAAATCAGGAACAAAAACAGAAGTTGCTGGAAATCTCAGCAGGTCTGACAGCATGTGAAGAGAAATCAGAGCTAATGTTTCGGGTACAATGACCCTTCCTCAGAACCAGCAATTTCTTCTGTTTTTGTTTATGACCACTTAAAGCTTGCTTTGTTTTGAAACTTGTGATGGTTAAACAAAAATTGGGTGTTTTTTTTTAAAAATGCCCACAGAATGCCAGTTAGTGCATTTCGTTATTTTCTCAATGATATGATTTTTTCCTGTTCCGTTTTTAATTCTTAGAGGGCATCATGAAAAAGGCACACAGGCGATGCTTAAATTATACGTAATCTTTCAGTTATGTTGCGCAATGCAATGTATTTCAATGCTACTATTTTGTTTAAGTGGCAATGAATTGCAATGTTTTGAAGTATCCCTGAAAGCCAAATAAACTACAAAACCCATTAGGTGCAGAACAGATAAATTTTATAGGACATGTTATTTTTCTGTTATTTGTCGAAGCTGGAAGAAAAAAATCAAACACCTGTGGAGCATTAGGGTCAGGTTTAGGAACACTCAGGAGTACAAATTGTGTTTTATAAGATGCCATAACAAAGCACAATTGGTAAATAATACAACAGAGTGGCGCTGTGGTACTGTCCGTACACCTCAACTGAGAGGCCTGGATTCAAGTCCCACCTGCTCCAGAGATGTGCAATAACATCCCTGAACTGGTTGATTAGAAAAATAGTGTAAATACTCTGCAAGAGATTTTTTATTTGTAGACATGCAGATGATTGTAACAAGTTGTGTTGACATCAATGTTTTCTTCAAGCAAAAATAAATATTCCATAACATAATGTCCATAATTTAAAGTTTGGGCAAAGATCTGTAGCTCGGGTTGTGGATGAGGTTGTTGACTTGCTCGCCGAGCTGGCTTGTTTTCGTTCAGACGTTTCATCACCATGCTAGATGACATCGTCGGTGCAGCCTCTGAT